AATTACGACATTAAGTATCATCTGTGAAACGGATATTCCATAACGGTCAACCAACTCGAGATGGCGTCCGTAAAATTTACAAAGGGATGATTTCCACTTCACCATTTAGAACTCTTGGTTTAATAGCTTCCTTGTGAGCGGTAACCCTCTTTCAAGGAAATCATGATAGAAAATACAAGACCGGGAATATCGTATCAATTGGGAGATATATACTCCGTATGCAGGCGCTGCTGGAATGTTGCTATATAGAAATGGAAAGTTCACAATTGGGAAGCTGAAATCATCTCTTTTGTCGTAAAGTTTTGTTTTCAACCGACACTCATTGTCAATTTCTAGATGTAAGTCAAGATATGAGGCAGACTTAACTGTATCTGTTGTATCCTTTATCTCAAGTTCGATGGGATAGATGCGTTCAACATAGTCACCCAAATTTTGAATTATTTAGTGAGAGAACATCATCTATATATCGGAAAGTAAAGTTAAAGGATACTGCTAACTTCTTTTCTTTCTTCCTAAGAATTTCCTGTATGAAGTCAGCCTTATAAGAATAAAAGAACAAGTCGGCAAGAAGATGGGCACAGTTGGTTCCCATGGGAATGCCGATAGTTTGTTGAAAAACACGTCCTCCAAACGTAACAAATATGTTGTCAATCAAGAAATCAAGCATCTTGATAATGTCAATTTCAAAGAATTTTTTGTTTGAATCAGAGTGATTTTTTACAAAGTAGGATTTATCCCTCCCTAAGACAAGATGCTTGTATCTACGTTGGACATTCTTTTTTTATGAAACAAAGCAATAGCAACTCTTTCAATTTGTCTTTAGTTTGGAATGGGAATACTTGTGTAAAGTGTAGAAAAGTCAAATGTTTTAATACTATTGCAAGATGAAAGAGTCTTAGATTGTATGTACTCTAAAAGATCTTTGGAAATTTTTAGTATCCACATCTGATTCATACCACCTCTAGAATAGGCAGTTTCACAATAACTTTGAAGCCCGGCTTTGATTGCTACATGCTTTGAACATAATTTATATTTATTTCGGGATGATTTTGTTGACAAAAACCTTTTATGGCAATAATTAATTCAGTTACCGGAAATCAAATGCATCGATCATTTCACTTGACCCATATATTTGTTTCTCAAAGGGCGAATTCGTAAAGCTTCTTAATCAAAATTAAGTTTGAAAAAATAAATTAATAAAATCTGAAGCGAGATGATATTTTCGTTTTTGATTTATAAGTTATAAGATTAAAACGTTGAAGTGTACACGACTTACTTCTTGGTATTTTTTTATCATACATGTAATTCTATCATTTATTTCAAGATACTTAGAGATGTAGAAATTCAGATCTCTGATAGTATTTTGTCACATTTCCGTAAAGTTTTGTCAAATGGAAGTATGCATCTTAAAAATACGATTACACTTTCCTAAATCAGTTATTTTTTTACTTCTTGTCTTTAATTATAATGATGCATGGAGTCTATGCAAATGTATGCGTGATTTGAATGTCCCTTTGGTATCTTTATTCTCACTTTTTAAAAGTCATTGCTCACAAATTGGTTTTATGAAATGTTTGACGTTTAACTTATGCAAATACGCATGAAAAATGGACATGTATGGAATATTTGATTGCAGTTTTGTTAATTAAGCATGTTAAGATGATCATTTTAGTTTTATGACCAATTTATGTTAGCAAGGGAATCAAACCTATATTTACTGGTCCGGCATCTACCCGTTCTTCCTTTCCGGTCAAAAAAAATAAATGTTTACAATTATATACCAAATTATAGTTTTACCCGGATTTAGTGGTGCACTGCACATGGAAATATGGGGCACGGTACCTTAGTGCCACATATTCTTGTTTTTTATTATAAATGTACATCATGTTACGGTACCTGAATATGTATCTTCCGTATTCATAACCGCCTCTTTGTTCTTGTGGTAGCGTGCTCGCCTCGACAGAAGGGCCATACAAGTGATCGGGGATCAGGGAATAGAAATATGGTCACTCTTAAACTTCTTTCAAACCATTGCCAAAGTGGGGCTTCCGTTTAGCTGTGCGGGGTGTACAGTACGCAATCACGTCTGATCATAATGGAGACGTTGAATCCGATGCCTCTTGTAGAGACTCTACGCTCTCTACATGTTAAAAACCCTTGCAACAACCATTTGATGGGTCTGTAGGTGGCATGTTGCAAAACCAAATTATGCCCCTATCCAATATACCCTCATTTTCCAGTGGCCTTCCAAATTTCCCTGATCTTCATTACAGACGGCCTCTATTACAGGATCTAACTATTACATTTATTGATAATTTGTTCTCGTGCTGAATAACATAAACGGTACCAATTTTTCTACACCAGATGCGCATTTCGACAATCAATGTCTCTTCAGTGATGCTCGCGGCCAAAATATTTAAAACTCCAAAGCTTATTAAAGACGAAGAGCTATAAACCAAAAAAGACAAAAAAAAGTATAGCCAAAGCCGGGCAAGGAATCAGAGCTTTGCACGAGGGAGATACATTCCTTAATTTTAAATAATTTCCAAAATTTTGTAACAGGAAATTTCAATAACACAAAATCCGTATTTTCATTTCGGTACTGGCTATTGGGCTGGTGATACCCTTGGGGAATATTAGTCCACCAGCAGAGGCTTCGACCCAGTGGTAGTAATAATATAAACGGTACCAATTTTCACCATATCCGGACATATGATTCTGAGTCCTAAATATTGGTTGCTTGGCAAAAAGGCAGGCAATCTTTGATTTGCACCGGGCTAGGATCGAACCCAAGACCTCCCGCACTCGAGCTGAAGATGCATAAAATATTTGCCACTGGACATTAAGCAACCAAATATTTACCAATTGACAGTAGTGTAACTTGTATTTTATTGCTATTGAAGCAAACGATTTGAATCTTGGCAGTCAAAGCCTCAACTTGGTTAAAAGACATCAATGCCAATGAGGAGTGGACTTTTAATGGCAAATCAGAATAGCAAAATATTAGTTCAATATATACTATGAAATACACGGTATATTGTTTGAATGGTCAAAAGTTAAGTTAGGCGGTTGCCTCATAGCGTCAATGGAAGCCACGCCACTGCTCGAGTGCGAGAGGTCTTTGGTTCGATCCTAGCCCGGGTCAAATCAAAGATTGGCTGCCTTTCTGCCAAGCAACTAATATTTAGGAGTAAGAGCAGAAATCGGTCTGTCCGGAGTCAGAATCATATGTCCGGGTAGGGTGACATGTCTTCCTGCGGTATAATACAAAGTCGGATGCATATTCATCTTCTCGTCCTAAATATGCATATGCATCGAACACTTATACGTATATATGGCCCTACGTGCTGTTAATAATAATATTTTAGCGTTGCGCAAACCATGATCTTCTACACAGCATTTGGAAATAAAACATCGAAAAGGAGAAAAAAAATAGCGTACCGTACTGACTACATATCGCATCCTACGGTTGATTTAGGAGGGGGTGCTATATAGAGTTTAATATATGAATATATGGTTAATGCATATAATTTTACATTTTCCACTCCTAACGTTGCCTAGCTCCACCTTTTAAAATCTGGCATCGAAATCTTATTATCTTAAGTTGTTCTATGTTTCTTTCCTAAAACATTCATTTCAGTGATTTATGCAGTAAAACTAATTCGGTCACCCCCTTTAAATATATCAGTAAAATGGATAAAATCTTTTAAGTTAATGTACTTACATAAATCAAGCCGTTAGTTTTCTCGTTTGAATTGTTTTACATTTTGTGATTGCGGTGCCTTCAAAATTATAGCTTACTATGCGGTATGGGTTTTGCTCATTGTTGAAGGCTGTGAGGTGAGCTATAGTAATTGTTTTACATATTGTGTCACACATTGACTCTTGTGGAGAGTTGTCGCATTGGCAATCATACCACTTCTTATTTTTATATTCAAATGATACAAAATCGTTTGCCTGTAAATGTCTTTTGTGTTTGGACTATGATAGCACTCCTGTTAAATACAACAACACAGAACAGGCCTTAATCGAGTACACCTCGGGGTGGGGGGCTAGGATGAAATATGAAAAAAAATAAGCAGGACAGGAGTTTTGAGTAAAAAAAAAGGCAAGATGAGACACTTTGCAAAAAAAAAAAAAGCCAGGATGACAATTTATGTAAAAAAAAGTCAGGATAAACCAAAAAAAAAAAAAAAAGGCAGGACCGAATAGAGTGAAAACTCAGAGGCAGGACAGTGATAACAACTAAAACAAAATGCAGGACAACATTTTTCATCCTAGTCGAGATATTATATACTGGCAATGCAAGGGAAAAAAACGAAAGACGATGAAAGGACAAAAAAGATCACAAAGCACTATACATAGAAATGATAAAAAAAACATGTAGTTTAAGTTTAAGTGTAATTGTCGATTGACCTTTTGTCTTCAAAATAAAATACATTTGACCTTTTCTCCTCCTTATATCTTAATTCCATCGGTATAAACTGCATGTCAATCAAGCAAGAGAAAGCTACTATCTGGAACCCATTCTTGTTTAAAAGAGTCTTTATTTAGTAACAGTGACCTTTACTTTGGACCTATTGACCCCACAAACAAACTGGGTTTTTTCCGTCTGCCCTATGTCTACCATCTGTACAAGTTTCACTTCAATCAAGCGAGGAAAACTCAAATGACCATCTGTAAACCTATTTTTCTAACAACATATATATATATATATATATATATATATTTAGCAGCAGTAACCTTGACATTTGACCTATTGATCCAACAATAAATAGGCTTCTCACATTTTCTATTGCCTCATTCTAGATAATTTGGTTCCAATCAAGCAGCAAGAAATATTTAAGTTAACATCCGGAAAACATTTAAGGACACCGACAGATGGAAGCGTGTACTGAAGGGCAGACAAAAAGACGGTTGGACAGACAAAGCAATTACTTTCAAATTATATTATCCAAAACTTTTTTAGTGGAGCCTGAAAATAGGAGATCAAACGATCAGGAACTTAATATTTCCTTTATTATCAAATAAAAATGTAAAAATACATGTACGTTCTTTGATATCAGTTATAGTGTACAACCATTGCTGTCTGGTATTTTTTTATGTATATAAATTAAGAGCAAACGGAAGATTGAAATTACTGTGTGTTATACAAATCATTTTGATGTTCACTGTTGACGTCCCTAAAATGACGATTTTAATTTTTAAAAAATAATAATAAATCAAAGCAATCATCCTGTAAGCATGGTATTACATTGCAGATTAAAAACTATCATGTTGGTAACTAAAGTTTTATTTGTACTGGCAAAATATATTTGAAAAGCTCAGTGAGTCTCACTTATCTTCCGGTTTTTTAAGCTCTTACAAATAAATTCAAATAAATTCTATATTTTCAAACATATTTTCAAACAATGTAGATGTGTTACATATTTACAATGAATTGAAAGAAAACACATATCATTCGTTGAAGGAAATGTGAATAAAATCTCACAAGTAATATAGAGACTAACAATTATAATAATTGAACTATACATTCAAATAGTAATGGTGGCCGCGTATTGGTAGAAATAGGCAAACCATTTTTTCGTCGTTGGGTTACTGTCTCATTGACATTTATCCAAAATCATCTTACGTCTGGTCAGACTGGGGACGTTAAATTCGATGACCCATATGGGGTGCGTGCCACGTTTTTAGCGCGTAAAAGAACCTTTGTAACAATTTTACGAGGGATTCGTACACTACCCACTGCGAGGCAAAATTTCCGGCTCTATCAAACATTGCCTAAATTTGCAATGTCCCTACTTTAACCCGGTCGACCCATTTGGCAGAAACGACCATATTGTATTAATCGTTATATTTTTCTCATCCTTAAAATGCATGAAATATTTGACACCGGATGTTATGCAAGCCATTAAATAATGTCTTGTAGAAGAAAGGACCAAAACAGCTGCTCAGAGCAGATAAAGTCAATTTCAGCCTTCATTTCGACCTAAAAATTTATATTTTATATAGATTACATTAATTACACAACCTAAAGTTGAATAATTTCATAATTGACGAAATAATTCACATTGTAATATCAACTTTCACACGCATCAATCGTGAATAGAAGAAGATCTGGGATATTCGTCAATAATACAGCAATCCTTAAAACAAATTCATCTAGAGGACAACATACAATCTTTAACAAAAGTCAGCAATAAACGAAAAATTAATTGTCTTGTATGTATGTACTGTTTTGTTAATGTCTTTTCATAATCCAATTAATTGTTTCTACTGTTGCAGTATTGGTTCATCTTTTCTTGAAGTAAAGTGTAACTTTCTCTGATGGTGTCCGAAACAGTGTGTAGTGAGATTTCACTTCTGTAACTCCAGCAGGCAATGATATTTGAAAATTCTGTATAATCTTTAAAAAATAAAAGTTATAATATACAGATTAGTACAAGGCCTTTTCAATATCTACCCGGGTATTACCTCGAGACCCCCATATCAACCCGAGAAGTAAGTCGAGGGATGATATCTTGGCCGATAAGGAAAAGGACGCGTATTAATCTTTTTTATCCTATAATACCGATGTACGACCGCACCCATGCTGTTAACCCCTTATCAGCCTGACCAAGTGACGTCACATAGGCCTGAAATGGGTTATCAGCCTGGGTGTGAATTTATCGCTAGTTTACTTCCGCTCGTAAATAGGCAAAAACGATCATATTAATCATGTTGTGTTAATGCAAAGTTTATGATAAATAACGTTATTGCATAATGAACATGCTATGAGATTAATCATCCATCAGGGATGCTATTTAATAACAGTTACTGATAAGATTGATGTTTTAAAGGAATATGAAATTGTATTTTACATGTATATATAAGAATGTTGTCCGGTTTGTTACATTAGTTCACGCAATAAGAATATTGCCCCGTTGGTTACATTAGTTCACAGAATAAGAATATTTCCTAGTTCGTAATATTAGATCATGGAATAAGAATATTACCCCGTTCGTAACATTAGATCATGGAATAAGAATATTGCCTCGTTTGTAACATTAGTGAACGGAATAGTAATATTGCCCTGTTTATACTATTAGTTCACGAAATAAGAATATTGACCCATTTTTAACATAAGTTTACGGAATAAGAATATATGCCTGTTAGTAAGATTAGTTCACGGAATAAGAACATTGCCCCGTTTGCTACTTTAGTTCACGCCGTGAATAGGAATATTGCCCCGTTTGTAACATTTGTTCAGGCAATAAGAATATTGCCCCGCTGGTTACATTTGTAAACGGAATAAGAATATTGCCATGTTTGTAACATTAGTTCTCGGAATAGAAATATTCCACCGTTGGTTACATATTTTGTTCTGGATAAAGACCATTATCCAGTTGGTTACATTAGTCTACGGCATTAGAATATTGCCCAGTTTGTTACACTTATGCACGGAATAAGAATATTGCCCCGTTGGTTACATTAGTTCACAGAATAAGAATATTTCCTAGTTCGTAACATTAGATCATGGAATAAGAATATTGCCCCGTTCGTAATATTAGATCATGGAATAAGCATATTGCCCCGTTTGTAACATTAGTGAACGGAATAGTAATATTGCCCTGTTTATACTATTAGTTCACGGAATAAGAATATTACCCTGTTGGTTACATTTGTTTGCGGAATAAAACGGAAAAAAAACAAAGAAATAAAACAAAAGAAACAGGCATTGTGTGTTAAGGAAGACAGAAAAAAACGGTTGAAAATACTAAATTATAAAAGCTAATTAATATAAATTCATGCTAGATACATTTTCGTGTAATTATACCCCACGCAACGAGTTGCGGAGGGTATAATGTTTTTGACCCGTCCGTCCGTCTGTCCGTCCGTCTGTCCGTCTGTCCGTCCGTCAGTCCGTCAGTCCTGTTTCTTGTCATCGCAACTCCTCTCAAACCACACAACAGAATTTCACGAAACCTTTTTAGATAATAAGGACATACTATGTAGTTGTGCATATCGACAAGAAATTACGATTTAAATTTTTTTCTAGGAGTTACGCCCCTTTGAACTTATTTACTTTAATGTACTACTGCAACAGTTTGTCATCTCAACTCCTCTGAAACCACACAACAAAATTTCATGAAACTTTGTAGATAATAAGGACATACTACGTAGATGTGCATATCGACAGGAAATTACGATTCAATTTTTTTTCCAGGAGTTACGCCCCTTTGAACTTATTTGCCCAATATACTACTGCAACCTTTTGTCATCGCAACTCCTCTCAAACCACACAATAGAATTTCATGAAACCTTTTCAGATAATAAGGACATACTACGTAGATGTGCATATCGACAGGAAATTACGATTCAATTTTTTTTCTAGGATTACGCCCCTTTGAACTTATTTGCTTCAATAAACCTCTGCAACAGTTTGTCATCGCAACTCCTCTGAAACCACACAACAGAATTTCATGAAACTTTGTAGATAATAAGGACATACTACGTAGATGTGCATATCGACAGGAAATTATGATTCAATTTTTTTTCTAGGAGTTACGCCCCTTTGAACTTATTTACTTTAATGTACTACTGCAACAGTTTGTCATCTCAACTCCTCTGAAACCACATAACAAAATTTCATGAAACTTTGTAGATAATAAGGACATACTACGTAGATGTGCATATCGACAGGAAATTACGATTCAATTTTTTTTCCAGGAGTTACGCCCTATTGAACTTATTTGCCCAATATACTACTGCAACCTTTTGTCATCGCAACTCCTCTCAAACCACACAATAGAATTTCATGAAACCTTTTCAGATAATAAGGACATACTACGTAGATGTGCATATCGACAGGAAATTACGATTCAATTTTTTTTCTAGGAGTTACGCCCCTTTGAACTTATTTGCTTCAATATACCTCTGCAACAGTTTGTCATCGCAACTCCTCTGAAACCACACAACAGAATTTCATGAAACTTTGTAGATAATAAGGACATACTATGTAGATGTGCATATCGACAGGAAATTATGATTCAATTTTTTTTCTTACAGTTATTTTATTTCTCCAGTGACAATGTGGGGACGTGGGGTATGTGAGCGTGCTCACTAAGGTTCTTTAATTTTAATTATGCATCATACAAAAAACAATTTCAAGAACATGACGGGTGTCACTCAATTAGTGGTGCTGGAAAATTGAACCTTAAAGTTTCGTGGCACCTAAGTTCACCAACTTTTTATGCATTAATTTGTATTGATCAATCTTAAGTTTTCTGTGTAGCGTTTTGATAAGTTTTGTTTGTCTATATCTTTTCGTCGTCTTTATTTCTAGGCTTGGTGTTCTGGTTTTGTCTTTATAAGAATGATCGTCTTTAATTAGGCCCTTGTCATCCTCTCTCTTTTTAATTCTCGTCAGTATTCGTTCGTATCAACAATCAACACAATTGAAAATGATCAAATAATCTTCTTCATTAATTCTATAAGCAATCTAAGCCCTTACTATATCCTGCTAAAATCTTAAAACGGCAACTCCTGAATCGATTTAAATGATAAAAACTTTTAAAAAAACTCATGACGAAGTAACGACACACCTTGGTAACTGCTATAAATATTTCGTTTTCTGCAAATCGTTGTCCTAAACAGCTTCTTGGTCCATAACCGAAAGGATTATATGCAAATGGGAAATTTCGACTGATGGTCAACTCCCCTTCTGTGTCTCGAAGCCATCTTTCTGGAAGATATTCTGTTGGTCGTGGAAAAAATCTTTCGTCTTTGCACATCAGTGCACTGTTAACAACAACTAAGGTCTAAAAAGGGAATGAAAGCATTATTAATTCAGAAGAAACTAATAAAATAAATACAAATCCGATATTTTCGACATTGCGATGTCATCATTGAATAAACGATCATATATAGATATAAGAAGATGTGGTATAAGTGCCAATGAAACAACTCTCCATCCAAGTCACAATTTGTAAAAGTAAACCATTATATGTCCACATTGTTTTAACATTGTCAAAATCCCGAAGTATACAATGTTTACTTATTTAAATCGTCGACAATATGGACATCGCCATATCTACAATAAACTCACGATATCGTGTTTATATCGTTACCATGATAACATTGTACTTCATCGTATTTAATCGAAAAATTAATAGTTGTTAGCTCATCATATTTTCTTCATTGCATAGTATTTTAAAGTCATATGATACTTCAAATAAAAAAAAAGTTGAATATGTTTTCATATACTCTACGGGCTAGTTTTTGCTATAAAACACGTGTACAAGGAATTTCTTGTAAAAGACAATTCTTCATCTTATTAATATCTTCAGAAGTATACGTTCGTATTGGATTATTGTTGTTTTCTCGTACTTTGATTCGACGATAGGTTTCCCGACAGAAGTGACCTCAACCAGGAGACCTCTAAATAGAACTTCCGAATCGACAGCACGAAGTTGACCCAATATTGTGAAATGGAAATTTCGCCGTGTTAGCGATGTAAACGCAATGGTTTAGACTTTGAATACAATATACATCGCGATGTCGACCATGTACAGTAAACCATATCAACACAAGGGTTTAGACTAGGTTTACAATATAAACACGGCGCTGGCACGATACTATTGACATTAACTTGTTCAAAAGCAACTTTTTCATCCGAACTTAAACATAATATTATACAAGAAATCGTAACCTAACCCTAACTATAGATAAACCCGTATTTCGAATTATTCTAAAGTACTTGGACTCTTAATTTTAAAGATGGCCATTTAGACTCACATCTTTTGGAATTTCATATCCTCCAACTTCAAGATTTGTCTCTAAATATCTTCCTGTACCACTAGGTAAGGGAAATGTTCTCCTGTAAACAATGAGCCAATTTATAAACATTAATGCCAAATAGTGTGGAAGTTAAAGGACAGTAGCGGCAAAGAATGGAGGAATTTATGAACATTAATGACAAGCAATCAAAGTGCATGCAATTAGGAAATAATAAACAGTAATGGCAGGCAATTATAGTGCAAACGATGGGGCAACTAATAAAGAGTAACGGCAAATGATGTGGCAACTAATGAATATAAATGACAGGCAACGGGGCAACTAATCCAATACTTTATAAAATCAAATTAAGTCTCCTTTATAATTATGTATTTTTACTAATTACCTACACATCAAATGTATATGGAGTCACACATGAACATACATGACAAGCAATGTGATAACTAATGAACATACATGACAAGCAATGTGACATCTCATGAACATACATGACAAGTAATGTGACAACTCATGAACATACATGGCAAGCAAAGTGACAACTCATGAACATACATGACAAGCAATGTGACAACTCATGAACAAACATGTCAACCAATGTGACAACTCATGAACATACATGGCAAGCAATGTGACAACTTATGAACACACATGGTAAGCAATGTGACAACTGATGAACATACATGACAAGCAATGTGACAACTAGTGAACATACATTGCAAGTAATTTGACAACTAATGAACATACATGACAAGCAATGTGACAACTAATGAATATACATGGCAAGCAATGTGATAACTCATGAACATACATGGCAAGCAATGTGACAACTAATGAACATACATGACAAGCAATGTGACAACTAATGAACATACATGGCAAGCATGTGACAACTAATGAACATACATGGCAAGCATGTAACAACTAATGAACATACATGACAAGCAATGTGATAACTAATGAACATACATGGCCAGCAATGTGACAACTAATGAACATACATGACAAGCAATGTGACAACTAATGAACATACATGACAAGCAATGTGACAACTAAAGAACATACATGACAAGCAATGTGACAACTAATGAACATACATGGCCAGTAATGTGACAACTAATGAACATACATGGCCAGTAATGTGACAACTAATGAACATACATGACAAGCAATGTGACAACTAATGAACATTCATGGCAAGCATGTGAAAACTAATGAACAAACAGGACATGCAATGTGACAACTAATGAACATACATGGCAAGCAATGTGACAACTAATGAACATACATGGCAAGCAATGTGACAACTCATGAACATACATGACAAGCAATGTGACAACTAATGAACATACATGGCAAACAATGTGACAACTAATGAACATACATGACAAGCAATGTGACAACTAAAGAACATACATGACAAGCAATGTGACAACTAATGAACATACATGGCCAGTAATGTGACAACTAATGAACATACATGGCCAGTAATGTGACAACTAATGAACATACATGACAAGCAATGTGACAACTAATGAAAATGCATGGCAAGCATGTGAAAACTAATGAACATACAGGACATGCAATGTGACAACTAATGAATATACATGGCAAGCAATGTGATAACTCATGAACATACATGGCAAGCAATGTGACAACTAATGAACATACATGGCAAGCAATGTGACAACTAAAGAACATACATGGTAGCAATTTTACAACTAAAGAACATACATGATAAGTAATGTGACAACTAATGAACATACATGGCAAGTAATATGACAACTAATGAACATACATGGCAAGCAATGTGACAACTAATGAACATACATGGCAAGCAATGTGACAACTAAAGAACATACATGGCAAGCAATGTGACAACTAATGAACATACATAACAAACAATGTGACAACTGAAGAACATACATACATGACAAGCAATGTGACAACTAATGAACATACATGGCAATCAATGTGACAACTAATGAACATATACATGGCAAACAATGTGACAACTAATGAACATACATGGCAAGCAATGTGACAACTAATGAACATACATGACAAGCAATGTGACAACTAATGAACATACATATTAAATAATGTGACAACTAATGAACATACATGGCAAGCAATGTGACAACTAATGAACATACATGGTAAATAATGTGACAACTAATACATACATGGCAAATAATGTGGGCAACTATTGGACATAATTGGCAAATAGTGTGGGTAACTGATGAACATAGTTGACAAGCAACTGAAGACCAAATATGGATCCCGGCAAACGTTGGCTGTTAATACAATCTGATTAAAATACAGATCATTTGTCAAACTTTGCTTACAAAGATCTAAAACCACTTCGTTGTTTTAAACTTTCTGTTTTAAAGACCTTTCGGTATCCCCAGGTTTGTTGGATTCATACACATTTTAAAAATTTGAAGACTTCGATTTCAATGGCTGATTTAATATTTAACAGAACAAAAGGTCAAACGGAATTTTGTCAGAGCCATGTAGTCAAAGCTTATAGACACTGGATGTGTACTTTAATTAAATTGCTGATAAAACTGTTTCTTAGAGAAACGGGTATTTCCACAGAAAGCAAATTCCGTTGTAATTGAGACACTGGATTCTTTAAAAAATACCAAAAGTCAAAACAGCAGATATGTCGTTTTAAAAGTATTCGTTCAAGTGATAAAATTTATCAATTTTGTTTTGCTGTTAAATGTTTCTTCTTGCACACATATTTCCCTTTCAAAGCAAAACTCCATTAAATGATGCAGAGCTCATACATCAATGTATCTTAAGAGTTAAACCTAGATATTATAAAGTATCCACGTGACCAGTAACTTGATATTTCAAATATAGATATAAATGTATAGTATGTTTGTATTGTGATTGCTTTGTCATATCCCCTATCTGGTTTTTATTTTGTATCAATAAAGAGGCTGTTCCTTAATTGTCAAACAACCGATATTTTAGACAGCACATACCTCAGACTTTCCTTGACACATGCCTTCAAGTAAGACATCCGTGCGAGATGTTCTTTCGTTAGATTTGTACTTTCACCAACAATTCTTTGTATTTCTTCATACAGCTTTTTCTGTTTGTCAGGGTACAGGCTTAAATCAGTTAGTACAAACGTCAGGGTATTGGCGGACTTTTAATAAAGAAATGAATAAATAAATCATATTTATTTAGTAAATTCACCGTTTCAGACTAAATCAAATCAATCCTGGGTGAAAATTTCAACGCATACACCAGAACGTTATGATTGATTAACTAATTCCTAAAAACGGAAAATAAACCAATGCTGCCATTTTTTTAAATTTTTTTTTTAGATTCTGAAACTACCAATTACCCAAGGCCGTAACTACCATTGAGGCAAATGAGGCAATTGCCTCACTAAAATTTCGACACTGAAATTTATTTTTTTGTGTATTTGTTTATGGTAATTAAAAACGAAATGTATTCATTTGTTTTTTCTGTCTCAAACTTAATTTCTATAACTTGACATCGTTCCTTTTAAATTATTTCCCCCGGATATAACTCAGCATCTCAGTCACCGCTTAATGTTTCTCGATAACATTAACCTAGTAACCGGTAATCATCATGGATCTTCAGTTAAAAACAGGCTCTTGCAGAAAAAGGAAAAGCGAGGCTGAAGGTGAGGAAGGAATAATTCTAGTAAACTAATTGATGTTATTTATGATCACAACAGGTGTTAAGAGTTCCAGTATTGGATATATTTTCATTGGAACTAATCCAAAAACTATAAATAGACTGACAAATCAAGTACTGGGGCACGGGATAAGTCCTGTCTGAGTATTCATTTCCCCGTTTTTCCCAACTTTATTCGTTCTTAAAATTTGAAAGAACATCTCGTAATCCAATTTTAAGGGACAGTAGGACCTTTAAAACGGGATTTAATGTTTTCTCATTCGGGAATACGGGATTTCGTGTCTTTCAATTCGGGATTTCGGGATCGGACTCCCTCCTACCCCCTCATTATTCGATTGTCGATCTAAAATATCTTACCACTGACTATTTCCAGAAATAATCTGAAATCACGGACCTACATGTAAACGGCGGAAACAAAAGTCCAATTTCCCCGTACCCATAAAAAAAAAAGCTAAAAAATCAATATTCCTAGAATAACATAAATCGATATAGTTATATCCGATTTCCCGTATCCATAACATTAAAAGGTAGCATGTGGTAGAATGAAAAACTCAAAATGATATTCCTAAAATAACATAAAATGACATAGGGGGTAACCCCCTCCCCCCCCCCCCCCCCCCCCCCCACATGTCTCAGTGAATTCAGATGCCAAAGATAGGATTATCCGATATTCCTGAAAGGTGAAATGGCAAAGTAGATCCCAATATACCCTGTTCAAGGCTTAAAGCTGAAAATTAATATGTAGCATCGTCCGCAATGAAGCGGTTAAAATCAAACCGTGACATCTTCAATCTATGCAACGATGTCAAGGTCCCTGGAAATGCCCAGAATAAGGGATTTTACACCATTTTTCCCAGACCCCTACCGAAATTTTTCGCCTCGCTTCGTTCGGCTCTATTTTTTGCCTCGCTCCGCTCGGCGATCAGCTCTGCATCACTAAAAAAATATGCCTAGTTACGGCCTTCATTTCCTGGAGTATCAATTAAGATCAAATAATTGATGTTTAATATAATGATTTCTAAAAACCACATTTCAAGGACAAATGTCGAAGTTCGAATGAAGGTCATGTTAGGCGAAATATCGTCTTATGGTAAAACATCTTCGTAAAAAATCTAAGTCATTGGCAAAACGAAAAAAAAATGATTAGGTTACAAATAAAGCCTTCCAGTGGGCTCTCTTTCCTTTCAAATTTACATTGCTAAAATCACAAAATACTAGAGACAAGACACATATAATTATTTTTTCTGATTTCATTTTATTTCTTTGGTAAATTTCTTTCAATGTTAAATTATATGTATAAATTTTTTTAAAGCCATTGTATATTGGATTTTCAACAATGAAATATCAGTCCATTTATATTTGATATGCAAATACTATGATGTGGTATGATTGACAGTGATAAGACTTTGTATCATAGACCAAATGACGTTGCCGTTAGCAACTTCATATGCACAGAGTCGGATTTAGGGGTTTTCGAGGGGGCCCGGTCCCCAGCCCCCCTTTTATGAGAAACATTTGGTTGATTATTTAGGGAATCACTGAAGCATGACTGGAGTGGGCCCCCTCTTAGGCAGTCGGTGGGCCCCCTCTTATTAAAATTTCTGGATACGCCACTGGTGCATGTCGTCTCCGTATGGCCTTTAACGATGAGAAAAACTAATACCGCATAAAAATCTATAATAAACAGTTTCCCCCATGATAAGTGTAAAAATATTCAAACGAGAAAGTTCTGGGCCTGATTTATGTACAAAATGATAAACGAAAAAACAGCAACCGATATACAGCAGCATCCGTCAACCGCTGAATTATAAACTCATGACCTGGGACACGCACACAGAATGTGGAAGGGTTAAACATGTATAAATTTGCGGGTGCCCAACCATCCCCTTACTTGGGACTGTGGTGTGACAGCCTACCATGCTCCCTCCCGTGTCTGATCGTAACAAGTCTTACTGGTTAACGCATTGATTCCATAACAAAAAAACATGAATATACTCACCGTTTCAATTCCAGCACCGAATAGAGACATAACCATGTTAGTCGCTGACTCCTCTGTTACTCTTGGGTCAGATAAAAGAGAGTACAAGAAGTTTGGCTCCTCTTCAAGATACTTTTCTAGTTTTCCTTCGTCTTTCATTTTAGAAAGAAATATTTTCTGTGAATCGAGTATTTCCCTTGCAATTCTGCAAGTAAATTTAAGCAATGTCTGATCATGTTAAAGTAAGCAATGTCTGATCATGTTAAAGTGACTTTTTTCCATCATATAATATTTAGTATGTTACACTGGAACTGGAAATCACAACAAAAAATCCATTTAATATCTTGATCAGTATTTTTCTGGAATATTGTTTACTGAATTCTTTTGAAATAAACGTACATAAGTAAAGAAACACCTACATTTGTAAAAACGTTCAAATTGCCTTGTTGTTGTTGGGATATACAAGTACCTGGCCACGCTTACCCTGTGTTTTTTAGGATGTATTTCTATTTGTATCCATCTGATGAGTTAAGCCTTTTTCACATGACTTTTATAGTTCGTTCTTATGTTGTACTGTTACACCACTGTCCTACGTTAGGGGGAGGGTTTGGGATCCCGCTAACATGTTTAACCCCGCCACATTATGTATGTATGTGCCTGTCCCAAGTCAGGAGCCTGTAATTCAGTGGTTGTCGCTTGTTGCTGTGTTACATATTTGTTTTTCGTCGTTCTTTTTTTGTACATTAGTTAGGCCGTTAGTTTTCTCGTTTGAATTGTTTTACATTTGTCATTTCTGGGCCTTCTATAGATGACTATGCGGTATGGGCTTTGCTCGTTGTTGCAGGCCGTACGGTGGCCTATATTTGTTAACTTCCGTGTCATTTGGTCTCTTGTAAAGAGTTGTCTCACTGGCAATCATACCACATCTTTTCTTTTATATTAAAAATATCTCATTTTAAACAAAATAATAAAATCTATTTAAAACAATACTCCAATAATATTTCAGAAAATATAAAAGCTAAAAGCATTTTTTTTTTATTTCAATTGAGTTCAAACTTGTATGCAAACTTTTACAGAACACTGTCACAAGGTCCAGTTTCTGTTCCTTGACCTATTTTAAACATGTCCAATAAATAGAGCAGATGTTAAAAAAGGAGGAAGTGCGGAAAAGGTCATTTAAAAAAAAATAAGTATAACATAACATCGGCTGATTTATGCATACACATCATTGATATCATCATTAAAAAGTATGTGCACAGTTCAAACCGTGATATATTTCATACCTCGCTCTGTTACCACTTGTCGAATAAGAAAAAAAAAATACGTACTTTCCAAATTCAAATGTGTGTTTTTCATATTCCTTGAAGAATCTTGAATCAGGGGACATATGACTCTTTCTTGGTCTCATAACTGAGGTTCCAAGCATCTCAAATAATTTTCTGACATGGACAGCCACAAGATTATTATCATTTTCCAGACTGCCAAGTCTTTTATTAAAACATAACATTCCAACACCTTAAAACAGAAAAAATAAATTACATGTATTTTCGACTACCGGACTTTGTTTGAAATTTTAGATTTTTTGGCGATATTAGTTTTGTCCCTCATTTTTAAACCATCAATAATGAATATATGTCACGTGCTAGAATACTCTGAAATCGACATCATCATGCTGCACATTTCACCTATACATGTATATGATGTACAGTTGATTCCACGTGGGATCGTACTGCGTTCGTGTCATTATCAAATAGGTTTGTGTTTAAAGTTTTACTTTCAGAAGATTCAAAATGTTTATAACATAGAGAATAATACATGGCAAAATCCGTATCATATGCCGTATCATCCCGAGATACCGATATCAGCCCGAGGGCCTTTAGGCCTGAGGGATGATATTGGTCGAGGGTGATACGGCATGTGATACGGATTTTGTCATGTTTTATACGCTTTATCATATATTTAAACAGGAGAGTATATATGAACTGCTTTCTGATCCTAAGCACCTGGGTTACCCTGAGATTTACTTTTGTCTTGTTTTAAAAGCTTTAAAAGAACTGCTTAATTATTCATCTGAGGCACTTGGGTTACCTTACAATTTGCGTCCTGTTGTTCATAGAAATATTTTGTTTATTGTATTTTTCAGTGTTTTGTATGGTATTTCATTGAGTTCTTTTTTATTGTTGAATTTCGTGTGCTAGAAAATATGAAAACTCGACGTCTGTGACGTAACATGCTAAACAATGACGTCATTCAATAAATGACGTCACGCTCTAATGACCGTTTCATTCAGGACCCATTGAGGAAAAATATTTCTTGAGAAGCTTGCATAAATTAAAACATGGACTTCATGTAATTAAGTCGGAACCACTACTGTCATAAATATGAAATTTGAATAGGGGTGTGATAAAGGGTGCGCATCAAAGTTGAGCGATGCGGATTTTTTGAAGATCTGTATATATAAGAATAACTGCTTTTTATTATTATTGTTTATTACAAATGCAAGCAAGTGGCGAATCCTATTCTACCAAGAAGACCTTATACATTCCGTGTAAACCTATATAAAAGGAAGAATCGCCAGTTCTTTCATTTCAAATCAATTTGCAAAAACAGCAATGTTTTAAATATTATCATATCTAAGAAGAGTTCTTGTTTATTTTATTTCAATTATTTATACTTACCAGTCAGAAACATACTTTTGGATTATCTTTCTTTACTACGTTCATAACTCGCAAACACACAGATGATCTTGATTCAAACATTCACTAACTCAGATCATCAGTGTGGTTCATGCTTCAGTTTATCTTTCGGCGTGTACAAATCACGTTCCGTTCGCATTCGGTCAGTAAATGTTTTACTGCCGCAATAATTTTGTCGTTTGACTATGACTATATAATTGTTTAACTATAGAAGAAACGAATAGAATATCCGAAGAAGAATTAGAAAGTGATTCTGTCGGTATTACCGGAAGTACAGGTAACCAAATTCGGGATATAAAAATGGCCAGAACCGGCAACAAATCCTCAACAAGTAAATCTTAAAAAAACGTTCGACCAAGACGGCGGAACTAGAAATGAAGCTTTTCAGCATAGAAGAAAGCTTTGAAAAGCGTTTTGATTAACTTTTTGGCTTCCTACAGACAGCTAATAAAAGTGCAGATAGTTCTCAAACTGGTGGGTCAGCCACACAGGAGAACGATGTTACGAGAATGGATAACGTCCCTGTACAGAGGGAACGTAGACCATTAATTCGATTGGAACCTAACTTAAATTAGGTAGTCCAAGAATTGTAAGAGATTTTGATAAACGCTCAGAACTATCTTTACAAGTAGACCGTCTAGAGAGACGAGATCTGTTGGGTCTGATTTCAGATCATGAAGAGAGTGATACTCAATCAGTGAGTAGTCATTTACTTGATAAAAACAGTAATTCTAAGAAAACTGACAGGTTTAGTAAATACTTAAATTCAAGTGTACAGAATATTTCTACTGTTGATGAAAATTCTTCAGGTAACATTACATGCAACAGTAAAGTTGATAGACTAGCTAAAATTTTTAAGGATGATTTACTAGGTGACAATAGTGACCAGTCAGTAGGTTTGATTTTAGATGAATCTCAAGTTAAGATTTTATCTTATTCTTGGAGAACTCAGCATCCTGAACGTTTGTCTGCTTATAAAGATGAGTATAGATCATGTTTTCCTGTACATGAGAAATCTTTACCAGTGTTACAAGTGCCAAGTTTAGATGATATGCTAGAACCTATGATTAAACGTGTGCATACAAATAAGACTGTGAAATCTTGGGACAAGCAAAAACAGTTATTTTCTCAACCTGTGAAACAAATTGAGAAGCTATCCTATTCTGGAAAGGTAGCTTCCAGAATGGGAATAATTTCTATTTCGTATATGCAACAAGCTTTGGGCACTTTGTTGGGTAATTTAGAAAATGACAATGCTAGTGAAGAAAATTGTCAATTAGTAAAAGATTTATTTGCTATGTAAACCAAATCTATTGACCAAATGGGTAGAGCTGGAGCCTTTCATCATATAATTAGAAGGAAATGTGCTGCAACAGATGCAGGCATAAATAATTTAAATGATATTTAAGCTAAGGTACTTTATTTACCGCTTTCTGACGATGGTGTTTTTGGACAAGGTCTAGAAAAACAACTTGAGAAAAGGAGAGAACAAAGGGAACAATTGGAAGATTTGTTACCGGAGTTTCACAAAACCAACAAAAGAAAGTTGGAGTATGATAGTCGTGATAGTTGGTCAAATAAACAATCAAAGTTTGCAGGAAACTCAACTTATAATAATTACAATAATAATTATAAGAAACCGTACTAATAGACAGTCTTCTATAAATTCGTCTAATAAGTCTTTATAGAGAGAGGTGGCTTTGGAAATAAAGACATGAAAGACAAAGATGCCAAGACATCAAATAGTGGTACAGGTTCCTGGGGTTCTTTTCGTATCCCCACGAAACAGTCCAGCTGACTCAGAGATACAGGTAATTTTATTTCACAATCAAGTCAAGATTCCAGTAGGGGTCGCCTCAGATTTTATTTATAGAAAATTGGAAAAAGATAACAAACGACCAATCGGTTTTGTCTGTAATAGAAAAAGATTACAAGTTAGAGTTCATAAAGAAACCAATTTGGCAGGGAATAAAACAAACAATTGTGTCTCAAAAAATATGGAAATTTTACTTCAAGAAGTAAATATTTTATTAGAAAAAGATGCAATAGAACAGGTTCAGAGAGAACAAAATCAATCAGGTTTTTACAGCACATGGTCCCCCAAAAAATGGGAAGATGAGACCAGTCATAAATCTGAGACCTCTCAACGGGTATCTTAAAAAAAAACATTTCAAGATGGATTCACTGACCAAAGTCTTGAATATAGTAAAACCAGGAGATTGGGCCATAACGCTCGACCTAAGCGATGCGTATCTACATGTCCCAATGTTTCCAAGTCATTGCCAATATCTAAGATTTTACCTTCAAAATCAAGCATTTCAATTCAAAGCTCTTTGCTTCGGTCCAACATCTGTCCCACGAGTCTTTCTAAAAGTAGTGTCCGTAGTGGCAACCTACTTGAGAACGAAAAATATAAGATTAGTAGTATATCTGGACGATTGGTTAATAATAAATCAACAAAATCACATCTATGCCTAGATCGAGCAGAATGTCTCAATCTCTTGGTATCGCTAGGGTTCATAGTGACCAAAGAAAAATCCAAACAAGTTCCGAGTCAGAAATTGATTTATTTAGGGGCACTTTTCGACCTGGAAAAAGGGTTAATATTCCCAACACAGCAACGAAAAGACAAGTTGAATCTAGCCATTCAAAAAATAATGAAAGAAATCCAAGTGACAGCTTTAGATTTTCTTCATCTTTTGGGGATAATGGCCTCATGTATAGAATCAATTCCAAATGCTCGTTTGTACATGAGACCAATTCAACTCCATCTTCTCTCTTTTTTGAGACCGGCATGTCAAGAGTTCAAAACATTAGTCCCAGTGACACATCATTTCAAATTTCATCTAATTAGGTGGTTAAATTCGCCATAAAGGCCGCTCTTTGCAACCTCAACAGACTTGTATAACCATAACTACAGATGCTCTAAAAACAGGTTATGGGGGTGTAATGGACAAGAAATTTGTTCAAAGGGAATGGTCTGTTTCAGAGAGCAAGAAACACATAAATTACCTGGAATTAGAAACAGTAGTGCTCACAATCAAACCTTTTCTAAAATATCTGATAGGGAAATCTGCACTGATAAGATCAGACAACACAACAGTGGTCCAGTACATCAACAAAAAAGGGGGTACCAAATCACCTCAGTTCTGTTACAAAACCTGGGAACTTTGGACTTTAGCAATTCAATCCAATATAACCCTGAAAGCAGCTCATATAATGGGAAAGAAAAACATAATTGCAGATTATCTGAGCAGAAAAAAAATTCTTCCACATCCCCAAGCTTTTCCCTTGGATGTCCTGACAATATCTTGGGAGAAAATGTATGCCTACGCATATCCCCCAATCTGCCTGATACCCAAGATATTGCAATATATGAAGCAGTTCCAGTGTCAGATTCTTCTGAAAGCTCCTTTGTAACCCAGGAGACACTGGTATACGGAATTACTTCAACTATTGATAGATTACCCTGTCAGTCTCCCGATACAGTCAGACCGTCTCTGTCAACCGAGGTCCCAAGTATTTCATCCGGACCCGGGAGTATTCAGTCTGACTGCTTGGCTTCTATCAACAGATCTTTCCAAGCAGAGGGCTTTTCTAAAGAAGCAAGAAATTTACTCTCAGCTTCATGGAGGAAAGGAACTCAGAAAGACTAAAGTGCAAAATTCAAGAAGTACTGTAGCTAGTGTAGTACAAGGGAAATTAATCCCCATAATGCAACTTTAAATCAGGTAGCAGATTTTTAGCCTATCTGTTTGAAAGTGGATTGCAATATAGGACTATTGCAGGGTACAGGTCTATGCTTCCCAATGTTTTACC